CCGCCCCCGCCCGCGCTGCCGGCCCGGGCACAATCCGAGCTGGATCTGGTTCCCTGCTCGGGTTACGGCGCGCTCTCGGCCCGGGCGGCTTCACTTAAGCAATTAGCCAGTAAAAATACCTCGGGCTTGGGGAGTGGGAGACATGGCAGGCGTGTCTGTTTTTACAGCCCCCTCCCCATTTGGGGATTCCTGGGGCTGGCGCTGGAGCGCAGATTTGATTTGGGGTGGCAGGGGGTTCTTGATGGATCTTTACACGAGAGCAGAAAGCAGCCGGAATCCCCCGTCTGCATTTTCTCCGACCGTCCCTGGAGCTGGGCCCCTGGGGGTTTTGTTTGTTTCTGTCTGTTTGGATAGCCTGGCTTTCTGGGCAGTCTTGTCTGACTCGCAACAGCTCTAAGAAAAAGATGCCGTTATTCAGTCCCCCCCCCTTTTTTTTTCCAGATGAAGATACCAGGTGACAGCATGGGGAATCTGCACATATATTATCTGTATATGAAACAGCTAATAACACTGTATCATATACCTGAATGGTCCTGAGCGATCTTAAACGTTCCCACCGCAGAGAAAGATATGGTAACCATGTGACAGGATGGGGTCATTTTTGCAACATATACATGTATCAAATCGACTGCACACCTGAAATTTACCCAATGAGTCCACTGCGGAAAAATAAACCAACAACTCCTGCCGGCTCCCTGCCAAAAAAAAAAAAAAAAACAACACCAGGAGAAACAAATGCACAAATGGCTTATGCAACATTCCTACACAGTGAAGGCTGGATTCAAAGCCAGATCACATCCGATTGTGGATCTACAGGTAGAGGGTCTCTGCCCCGTACTCGGGGGCTGTATCTTAGTTCTGCAGGGTGAACTAAGACACCAGGCAACGTCACTGAATCCATCTGTAAAGGGAGGGACAATACTGACCTGGTAGGACCATCTGTGAAGGTTAGAAAAGTATGTTTGGGGATGTTAGCCAGAGTCTTAGGTTAGTTCATGGATGCGAGGTTGTGGATTCACGTGTGGGCTTCACACGAATTTGGTGAAACCTTGAAAATCATTCTACAAATGTCACAGGTATATGTCCTTTGGAAGGGGTGTGTGTAAGGTTGTAGATTTCAACAGCTCATCAAAGGGAGTCACAGCCCAGAGAAAGGTTAAGAACGTCCGAGAGGTGTTCATAAGGCGAAGCTCAACACTGGCTGCATGGCCAACAGTCGATAAGTTCTATTATTACCATGTGCTTGTGGTGTCTGTTATTCTGTCACCACCAGTTCTTCAATGGGTCTCAGTACCATTGAGCCTGGAAAGCCAGGGATGGGGGTGGGGGCAACAGAAGCATTTCTAAAACTCACTCTCTCCACCCCAGGCCTGTGAGGAGGCATCTGGGAGGGTAAAATTCCAACAGCCAGCCTTTGGAGGTGGAGAAGAACCACAGAAAGGTATTCACTCGGCAGCACCGGTGGAGCCAGGCCAGGGCCTCAGTTTCTCCATTTCCAAAACGAACGATCGGTGCGAACTCTCGGGAGCATCTGAAGAGCCTAAAGCTTGGTCTGGGGCACCTGGAAAGCCCTCCTTGCCATGCCTGTGGTTCTCTCCAGAATGGGGGGCCTCCAGATCACAGAACTGGAGCACATTTCCTCCCCCTTTACCTGCTGCCCGGGTGGAGATGTAGGGGCAGGGAGAGCCTCCAGTCTGCCACACTCCTGAGGCTCCGAGGCCATTCAGCCCCTCTCTGGGCACGGTAACTGCTGGCCTTCCCCCTGCAAAGTCTGTTCTACTGCTAGACCAGGGGTAAATGGAGGCCAGGTGGGGCCCAGCTCCACACTTCCTTCCAGGACCGCCAAAGCCTTTTCCCAACCCACAGGAGCCCCCACAGGGAGTCGGTGAGAAACAGTGATGTGCAGGAGCTAGGAAAACTGATCTTGGGTTAGCCCAAGGATGGACTCTGCAGCCCTCTCCCCACCTAAGAGAGGGCCTAGAGGGAAGGGGGTTGCTGGGGAAAGGCCCCCCATCTTCATGCTCCATACAGTCCCCTCATTTTGGAGGCGAGCTGTCAGTGGGGGAGGAGCGAGAGAAAGGGAGGGGTCACTATCACTTTCTGGGAGCCTTCGCCCCTCGCTGCCTTGGGAGAGGGCCATCTCCCGGGCTAGATTCTCTTCTATAAAGGTCAGACGTGTTCCCAGCAGCAGGCGGTAGCGACCCCTTCGCGGGAACTTCCCTCCAGGCGCCGCGGGGCCTCCCACCCTGCAGCTGCCGTTTGGTGGAAGGAAAAAAAAACTGAGGGAGAGAGAGAATATGAGAGTGCGTGTGCGTGGCCGTGCGCGCGCGCGAGTGGAGCTGCTGTGCTTGTGCGGCCGGCTGTGCGTGGGCCAACGTGCAGGGCAGGAGTGTTCGCACGTAACCGAAAGTGTGTCCTCAGCGGGCAGGCAAGGCCTGAGCGCTCGTGCGAGGGCTGGGGCGCCTGAGCCGTGTGAGGGGTGTTCTCTGGAAAGACGGATGGAGGCCGTGCGCCGTGCTCAGGATGCCTGCGTTCGGCGGGTGCCGGCCGGACTGTGTCAAGCGGAGATGGGTCTGCCAGCGCGCGTCTACCTGCGCGAAGACACAACCACACACTAGGCGGTCACGTCTCTCACTCCTCCCTTCCCCAACCGGCCCCTGCCAGTGTGCGGAGCCGAGACCCCGGGAGAGCCGAGCGGAAGCGCGGCGCAGAGAAGGTGGATTTGCCTAGAGCGCGCTCCGCCAGGGCAGGCTACGCCGCCAAGACGCCCAGCTCCTCGCACGGACGTGCCAGGCGCCCCGAAGGCGACGAGGCGTCTACCGCCGAGGCAGCAGGCGTCGGAGCGAGGGAGGGGTGGGTCAGCGGGTGACAAGGAGGCCAGAGAAACCAGGGAGGCCGGTGGGCTTTGAAAAGCGCCGCGGTGCCACACTCCGAGCCCGGCACACGCCTCTCGTCCCTGCTCGCGCCGGGGCACGGCGTCCTGGCTCCTCTAGATGACCCGCGAAAACACCCCTCGCCTCCTTCCTCGGAAGTCTGCGGAGCGAACTGCACTCACCTGGCTCCCCGCGTGCGACGTCGCGCCCGGCTCCTGCGCCGTCCTGCGCCCGGCGCCTCTGCCTCCCACCTCATCCTAGCTCACACCCCAGCGCCGGGAGGGTGGCGGGGGAAGGCTGCGTGCGAGCCCCCTGCTGCGGGCAGCCTGGCGCGCGAGGGCCGCCCGGGCCCGCGCTCACCGCCCGCGCAGACTGCCTTCCGGAACCTGGCCTGGAGCGCAGTGTCAGAGGCCCCCGCGGCGGCGGTAGGCCGAGCCCACAGGGGCATTAGGCCAACTCCCCCCCGCGCACGCGGAATTCTATTATTATTATTAAAGAATCCCCCAGAACGTGTTTACGTTGAGCCGTATAAACTTCCTGCCAGGGCCTTTACCATCTGCGAGAAATCGGAACCTGCTCTTGCGAAGCGGGGACACAAGCATCGCGGGGCCAAATAGGCGGGTTTTCAGCGTGTATGTTGGGGGTGGGGGTGTCAGCTGAGCTATGTGTGGGCTCAGATCAGAGCGTGGCTGATGTACACACGAGTGAGGGTAGGTGCGAACTGAAGCTCCTGTGGGCCTTTTGTGTGTGCGTGAGCGAGCGCGTGAGTGGACAGGCACATGCCTGAGCGCCGTGTGTGCGTGAGTGGGAACGAACGCGGTTGGTTTGCAGGTCTGTGTCTGCGAAATTTACCGCGTTTGCCTGTGCATCGGTGTACGCACGAGTGCACAAGTTAGTGAATGCGCCCCGCCACTTGTTGAAGGAGGCCGTGGGGTCCTGGTTCCCCGCAAGGCCAGAGGTTCTCACTCGCTCCCCGAACGACCCGCGGCGCCAGAGACAAAGCTGCAGCGATCCGCCCTGCGCTTTCGTTTTCCGCCCGCGCTCGGCTCCAGCGGCTGCCCGCCTGCTTGCGCGCTTCTGGGCGAGTCCGAAAAGTCCCGGGCGCGGCGCAGTCCTTCCCGGGGCGGGGAGAGAGGGTAGGCGGTCCCTCGCTGGAACACCCGCCCGCCGGCCGCGGGGATTCGTAGCCGAGCCGGCTGTGCCCGCGATGGCCACGACCCGGCGGCCACAGCCGCCACTGCTGTTGCGATTCGCCACCGGGCAGTACGCGTCGGGGAAGGCCCGGGACTCCGGCTGCGCTTTCCTCCGCGCGGCCCGGGTAGGGAAGGCGGGGTGGGGGCGGGGGGGGGGGTGGGTGGCCAGCGCGCAGCTGGGCTGAACCCTGGGCCGAGGGCGCATTAACACTTGCTCGCCAGGTTGGTGGAGGCGGGGCGGATTCCGCCGGCGGCCGCTGGGAGGCGAAGGTGGGGGCCCTTTAAGCGCCCACCACCGCGGGGTGCCGGAGGGGGGCTGGGAGGGGAGGGGAGGGAACTCCTGGAGGGTCTTACGCCGGCCCGCGCGAGACGCCGCCGCCGAGAGACAACACGAAGCGGGCGGCCTCGGCTGGAGTCGTGGAGCCGAGCGCCGCGGGTGGCGAGGACCGAGCGCTGCTCCCCGCGGGGGCGCACGGCCACAGGCCCGAGAGGGGTTCCTACCCCCCCCCAAAAAAAAACGGTGTGTGTGTGGTGGGGGCTTCCTCGCGGCCTCCGCCCAGGCTGCAAAGAGGCTGCTCTCAGCCTTCGCTCGGCTCCTTCCCTTGTGGGAGGGCGGGAGGGAAAGAGGGAGGAGTGTAGGGGGGGAGGAGGGAGCGGGAGGGAGAGCGGGGGGCTCTGCGCCAACCGCCCGCGGACCCGGCCGCTCCTCGGGGAGGACGCGCGGGCGGGGGAGGGTGCGCCGAGGCTCGCTCCGGAGAAGCGGCCGCCGATGACGGCAGAGGTGCAGTCAGCCCCGCGCGCGCAGCCCCCTCCCCCCCGGCCCCCTCCCCCTCCCCCACCCCCTCCCCTTCCTCCTCCTCCTCCTCCTCCTCCTCCTGGCTCGTCGGCCGCGCAGAGCAGCAGCGGCAGCGGCGGCGGCGGCAGCAGCCACCCGATGTCTTCGGCGCCCGAGAAGCAGCAGCCACCGCACGGCGGCGGCGGCGGCGGCGGCGGCGGCGGGGGAGGCGGCGCGGCCATGGACCCCGCGTCGTCCGGCCCGTCCAAGGCCAAGAAGACGAACGCCGGCATCCGGCGCCCGGAGAAGCCGCCCTACTCGTACATCGCGCTCATCGTCATGGCCATCCAGAGCTCGCCCACCAAGCGCCTGACGCTCAGCGAGATCTACCAGTTCCTGCAGAGCCGCTTCCCCTTCTTCCGCGGCTCCTACCAGGGCTGGAAGAACTCCGTGCGCCACAACCTCTCGCTCAACGAGTGCTTCATCAAGCTGCCCAAGGGCCTCGGGCGGCCGGGCAAGGGCCACTACTGGACCATCGACCCGGCCAGCGAGTTCATGTTCGAGGAGGGCTCCTTTCGGCGGCGGCCGCGCGGCTTCCGAAGGAAATGCCAGGCGCTCAAGCCCATGTACAGCATGATGAACGGGCTCGGCTTCAACCACCTCCCGGACACCTACAGCTTCCAGGGCTCTGCCGGCGGCCTCTCGTGCCCGCCCAACAGCCTGGCGCTGGAGGGAGGTCTGGGCATGATGAACGGCCACTTGCCGGGCAACGTGGACGGCATGGCTTTGCCCAGCCACTCGGTGCCCCACCTGCCTGCCAACGGCGGCCACTCGTACATGGGCAGCTGCGGCGGCACGGCGGCCGGCGAGTACCCGCACCACGACGGCTCGGTGCCTGCCTCGCCGCTGCTGCCCGCGGCGGCTGGCGGGGTCATGGAGCCCCACGCCGTCTACTCGGGCTCAGCGGCCGCCTGGCCTCCCTCTGCCTCGGCGGCGCTCAACAGCAGCGCCTCCTACATTAAGCAGCAGCCCCTGTCCCCCTGCAACCCCGCGGCCAACCCCCTGTCCGGCAGCCTCTCCACGCACTCCCTGGACCAGCCATATCTGCACCAGAACAGTCACAACGCCCCTGCTGAGCTGCAAGGTGAGTGGGGAGCCCCGAGCTGTCCCCAGGATTGGGGGGTGGGGGGTGTGGTGGGCCTCTGTGAGTGCACTGCAGACTTAGCCCCCAGACTACTGGCACCCTGGTCTGGAGCCTGTGGCCACATTCATGGGGTGCCAGTCCCTAAGCTGCACCATGGAGTCCTCAGCTGCCCAAGGTGTCTCTCTGTCCACCTCTCCCCGTCTGAGGGCTGAATGCAGCCTGGAGTCCCCGCATAGACTAACATTCCGTTTTCCTTTCTGTTTCAACGCCCAGATAGATGCTGGCTGCCCCAGCCTGGCCAGGTAGGCCCCATCCTCACCTCAAAGACTTAGACTCCAATATTCTAAGTCCCCTCAGGTCCCTTAACCCCCTGACACCTGGGCGAGTTCCCAAGATGGAGCTGGCCCATCCCCGGGGCAGCTGGCTCACTCTCCCTGCTTCGGGAGAGCGGCCTCTGCTCTGAGCCGGGCAGGACGAAGAGTTAGGCCCAAAGCCGGCGGGGCTCTGCGCTGGCGCTCGGAGCCCGGCCTTTCGGGAACCAGGCCTGGGGCATGCAAGCGTTGAGTAGGGGGTATTTTGTGGCGACAGAGGCTGAGAGGGGCCCAGATCAAAGGTCTGAGCTGCGGGCCCCAACAGATTCTGTTTCTCAGGATCCAGGTTTCCAGGCCCACAGGTACCGCTCCGCTTGCAGTCCCCCCTGAGGAAAAAAGATGCACAGCCATCTTCCCCTCTGGATCCTCAGTCTCAGCACGCGCTAGTGGCCTTCTGGGTCTGGCTCTTGAAAGAGCTTGGAGGGATCCAAGCAGGGGCCTGTCAGGAGTCAGCTGTCAGCAGCCGGCAGGAGGCAGGAGCCGGGCCTGGAGGCTGGAGGGCTGTCTCCATGGGGGTCGCCCAGCTGGGGCTGCTTCAAACTCCAGCGGGGGCTCCAGCGGTCCCGCAGGCTTGGCTCCCCAAAGACTCTTCCTCTGGAGAAGCCCTCTTTGCCCCTGTGTTGGCCCCTGCCGGCCTGGCTCATTGCTTTAGGGACACCGCCATCTCCGGGGGCTGGAAGGTGGCTGCCCGGCGCCAGGCCCAGGCCTCAGGCTGCCCTGGAAGTGGAGGCCGCTGGATCTTCCCTGCTGGCCCCTCTGACCACTTCCCCGTCAGCCACCGGAAGCCCCCCAAGCCAGGCTCGGTGTCTGTGGAGGGAGAGGCTGGGGCAGCGGGCACTCAGGGTTGCAGGGATCCTTGTCCGTGTCTGGGGACTCTTCCCTCTGGGCGCCGGCCTGGCTGAGACCTGAAATCGGGAACTGGGACTTGGGGAGGCGTCGGCCCAGCGAGGAGCCAGGCAGACCTGCCCCCGGGGCACGACCCACGGTAACAGTGCTTCTCCACCTGGAGCCCAGGCCTCTGGAGGCCACCCTTTAACGCCCCCTTTCCTGTTGCCTCACCCCCACAGGCATCCCGCGGTATCACTCGCAGTCACCCAGCATGTGTGACCGAAAGGAGTTCGTCTTCTCTTTCAACACCATGGCATCCTCGTCCATGCACTCGGCCGGCGGCGGCTCCTACTACCATCAGCAGGTCACCTACCAAGACATCAAGCCCTGCGTCATGTGAGGCCACAGCTCCAGGGTCCCTCCGAGCAGGGGCCGGGCGCAGGGACTTTGGAACCCGTCACCAGAAACTGCTTTTTTTTTTTTTTGAGGTATAACCGTCGGCAGAAGAAAAGGGTTTGACCCCTCCCCAACCGGATTATTGGGAAAGGGATCCCACGAGGCAAAGACCCAGCGAGGTCGGCACCTCCCCCCACCACCACTCCCTCAACAGTTTTTTTTTTAATGGTGATGGCGGGGGCCTGATCTGACTGCAGCTGTTGATAAATAACTATCTATTTTTGATCGGACTGAAACCAGCTGAGAAGGTGCTGTGTTGGGGAAGAACTCTCAACATCTGAACACTTATTTCTGCTGCGGTCTCTCCCCCTCTCCCCTATCCACGGCGAATGTCGGGGAAGGTTTTTAGGAGAAAGGCAAACGTGTGAAACCGTCATTATCAAATACTTTTATTTTTTGGTTGAGTATTTATCGTTTTATTTTTAATTTTTTTTGAAAGAATGTCTTGGAATGCGCGTCTCCTTTTTAGAGCCGTCTCTTGTAGGGAAAGGAGGAGGTGACAAGAAGTCGCCCTCTCCCTCCCCACCTCAGAAGTCGTCCCGTCAGCCACAGGTGGATCATTGTGCGAGTAACTTGCATTTCTGAAGCCACTGCTCATCTTAGCAAAGAAACCAGGAGCCCAGAAGCAGGCGGCTCTCCCGGCCTCTGCCACCATCCTCCTCCGCCTTCCTCTCCTTCCTTCTCTTCAGGCTTTTTTGGTTTGATTTCGAACTTCGTTTTGACTTGTTTGGTGGGTCTCCGATCTCTACTGTAAACCCTCTGGTGGGAGCGTGAGGCAGGCAGGGCACCATGGGGATGGGGAAGGCCCGCCGAGCGCCCTGAGTCAGGATTGCGGTGACGCAGAAAGGTTAAGGCACTTTTTTTAAAAAACGATAGCAAGGCTCATCCTGTTATTTATTCTACTTTCTTTCCCTAATAACCGAAACACCGCATAGGCTCCTCCGTTTATCAGTATTAATGGTGTAACTTTGTTGGCAATATTTGCCGCGTAGAATTTTTTTTTTTAGATATCCATTGTAAATTTGAAACTAAGTCCGATCTGTGTAAAGACAAATTTCCATATGTTTTATATAAATATATATATATATATAAAATGAAGGACTCCCCCTTTTTTTTTTAGTATTTTGGCTGCTGGGGTGCAGCGTTTGTGACACGTATTTTAAATTTCCTTCTGCACTGTATAAAAATGACAATTTGAGGATGTTTTTGCCTTTTGTGTATTTTTTCCTAAAAAAGAACAAAAATAAAAATGTATAACATTTGTATATGGCCTTATATTGTATCAACCAGAAATAAAATTGCATGAGTATTTTATTGGGATTGCAGAATATCTTCAAAATATAGACAGTAACCGGCCTGGGATCACCAGTCTTTTTTTTTTTCTTTTTCGTATTTAAAGTATGGATGATTCTTAATCCTTTCCCCCCCTTTTTATTTTTTGGCTAATCCTTCTTTTTTCACTCATTTCACATTGAAGTGAAATCTGGACAAGAGTAACTATTTTTCTTGGCTTCTGTTTTTTAAGAAGAACCTTTGCCCCTCTAAATGTCATTTCTTGTTTTTAAAAAAATAATCAAACTTAAAAAAAAAACTGTAGTTTTCCCTCCCCCAGGGAAAAACATGCATATATATGTGTGTGTGTGTGCATGCATATATATATATAAAAAATATTTTACAGTTTCTTTTTGGTCACTCCAGGACCAATGAGAATTGTATTTTGAGTTTCAAACTTTACTGTTTCCAACTGTTATAAATCATGGAGCATCTTCTAAGGTTTTATTTTTTTCATAGGATTTTTTTTTTTTGGTGCCCTACACTTGGTTTTCCCCAATGGAGAAGCAAGTAAACTTTGAACAAGAAAAAGGCTGTTGGTGGCAGAGCAAGGTGATAGGCACGTTTCCCCCCTAAATCATTAGGGGGAAATCCATTTTAAAAAGTCTGTCTCCCCTACTGACCCTCTTTCTATTCCAATTCCCAGCTACCTAGGAAAACAAACACAATAAAGTCACAATGCCGGTGCAGCCGTTCAAGACCCACCACAGTTTCTCCGCATCGTGGGGTCATGAGCCTCTGAACCTGGTTCTTCTCAAATTTGACATTTTGGACGTGAGGGCAATTTCTCCGGTGCTCTGTTACATCAAAATTATCAATAAACTCGCCTGGGCAATTAATGCCCAAACTAACAGCTGTCTATAAAACGGAGATAAAGGGGACAGGAAGAAGCCGGCAACTTTGTCCCTCAGGTCTCAGGCGGCCGGAGCAGTGGGCAGCGTGCGGGGAGCAGCTTCACCGAGAGCGGAGGAGGCCCTGTCTTTGGGGCAGAGGCCACCTCTCCTTATCCCCTGCCCCCACCAATGCCCTGGAGAACGGGCCAGAGAAAAGCCCTCAGGCCTCCATTGCGGGAACCGCTGCGCTGGGGATCCAGACAACCTCGGCAGGCAGGCGGGAGGGGGCCCCCTCCTTCCTCCGTTGGAGCCTGCGCCCCAATTAGGATGGAGGCTGCGGGGAAGTGGGGCTGATTAGGAGAAACCCAATGCCGGCCCAGTCTGCACGCGCCCCGGTCTTCTGCTGAGGCGTCTCCAGACCCCGTGCCCACTCCCTTGACTCCTTGGCGCGCCGGAGGCCTCTGCATGCCCTGGTGATGCAGGGCTCCGGCGCCACTGGACCAGAGTCTGGGGCGGCAGTGAACCCTGGTTTCCTGTTCATCGCCCCTGCAGCGCCTTCATTTCGGCGGTATCTCCCAGCGCACTCATGTCCCCGCCAGCCTGGATGGGAGGAACCCAGAGGGACTGGGGCAGGAAAACCGGGCCTGGGGAGCCCAGGGATCAGGGATGGGCCCGACCTGTGGCCTGGGGATGAGAGAAAAGGCCAGCCTTCCCTGCAGAGAGGAGAGTCTGGCTCCAGGCAAACCCGGAAGGGCCAGATTCTACAGGCGTAACTGCGTCCACATCCACGACCAAGATTTCACAAGGCCTGCTTCACAGGACTGCATTCGCTCCCGCGGAGGCCGACCCAAGGCCCATTTTGGTCCGGCTCCCACCAGGACCACGGGATGAAGCTCCTACTGCCAGGTGCCAACACAAAAGCGTGCACTGTTCGTGCAAGTTACCAGCCTAAAATGCAAACGCACTTCTAAGGTGGTCACACACCCTGCCCTGGGTGCGTATTCTTCTAGCTTAGGAACACCTTTGAGAGAATTAATTCAAAAGTCCTGTGCATACCTTTAGGGTGTTTGATCTGGAACAATGCAGATGAGATACCCTAAAGGTATGAATACCCCCCAAAGTAACAGGCCAGGGGGTGGGGAAGCAGCCAGGACAGAACTTGATAGGGTTTCTATAAGAGGGTGACACATCCCGCCAAGGCTGCAGCTCCCTGCAGCTCTCCGCAAGGGGCCGACGCCCTGGACACAGCCGCGCTTCGGCTACAGGCCATGGCGGCCCCAGGCAGCAGCTGCAGCAGCGCCTTGGCGTTGTGTCCTGGCTCCCCAGCCCCTGGTGGAGGGGATCTGCAGGCCCAGCGGCCAGTCTGCACTCAGCGTGTGCGCTTCAGAAGGAAGGGAAAGTGCCCACCCGGTCCTGCTATTTTCTTGGCTCTTGGGGGGAAACCAAAGGGGTAGGGGTGGGGAGGGTGAGGTACTGAAAGCCTGGCTCCCTGCCGGCAGCACTCCTGGAGGTAGTGCAAAGATGGGGCTGGAGCCCCAGCCCCGCAAGGATTGACCTGGGCAAGCCACGTCACCTCTGAGCCTCGCTTTTCCTCACGTAGTAACATCATGTAGACCTATGGGCATGGTGGTCAGCGAGGTGATGCCTCTTGGGAGCAAGAGGACGGTCTAGCTCTCAGGGTGTCCAGATGGGAACGGCCATGAGATCCAGGCATTTCTTATCCTTCTCCCCTTCATTGTTGGGATGGGTGCCAAACAAGATGCAAGAACTCGTATTTTACAAGGTCACCCCCTCAGGACTTGAGCATCCAGCTTGGGGACTGCTGGAGTCCCCATCTTCCAATATGATGCACCTGGACATTCGTTCCCTCCCTTCCCAGGGAGGAGGAAGACATCATCCCATTTGGCTCAAGAGATGGAATTCTGACATGGGGTTGGATCAGGGGTTCCGATAAGGACCCACCCCAGGACCTCCTAACCTCTGGTCAGGAGACCCCTGAGCTCAAGGGTTTCCCTTCTGAGAGTGTGACTCAGGGACTGCCCTCATCAGAAACACCAGGGGTGTCTGTCTGCTCCAACTGCGGGTGGGGTGTGTGTGTGTGCTGAGAGTCACTGCGTTAGAATCTCTGGAGGAGGGACCCAGGAATCCTCAGGCCCACAGACTTCCAGGGGGTCCTGATGGGCGCCAAGTTTAGAGTCTCTCCTCCAAAGTTCTCTGGGCTCCTGAGAAAACCTGGGGGAAAATGCCTCACTGTGGCCTCTGCTGCCCCCTCCCGTCCAGCGGCCCAGCCGGCTTGTGATGCTAATGGAGAAGCAGCTGGCGCAGGGTGCCTGGAGCCAGGGCGAGCAGACACAGGGCTCTCTCACATTCAGGAGGTGCCCGCGCTGGCCTGTGGCTGTCCTCTTTACATGGCACCTCCATTCACCTCCTCAGCGGCCCTCCTGTGCAGATCCTATAACTCACTGCTACTGCTTCCAGATGCAGAAACCAGCTCGAGAAGGTTAGGGGACTTTATCTAATAGACAGTCCTGGTAAGAGGTGGAACTGAATGCAAAGCCCATGTCCCCAACCACTGTATTAATACCACATGGCTCCTGGACACCCATTTTCCTCCAGCCACGAAGCCTAGTGAAAAAAGGGAGAAGTTGAAGTCTGGTCCATGATCCAGCTTGCTACCTGTGCTGAGGAAATTATGATGGGCAGGGTCTGCACAGGGGACTGGGGTCTCTCTGATCTCCTTGCTGGCCTTTGGATGGGGTGGTGAAGCTCCCCGAACAGC